GCTTATGTGGTGCTGAGGAATCGAACCCAAGGCCTCTGGCATGCAAGGCAAGTACTCTACCACTGAACCACCTTCCCAGCCCCTGGACTTTCATCTTTAATCTGTCAAGGTGTCTTGGATGATAATTGTGGTTGGGGCAAGTCCAGGAAGATGGGGAGCAATCTACAGCAAAGGGTCAATTTTACCTGTCTTATATGCTGTCTTACATGCTTATAACATATAAGGCTAGGATCATGCCAGATAGATGAAAAATACATGTGTCATGCACTATCTAATACAGTTCTAAGTCTGTTCAGTCCTGGGGCTTGAACAAAAAGCCTGGGCACTATTCAAGAGCATTTTTGCTGAAGGATAGTGGTTTACCACTTTGAGCCACAGCTTCACTTCCTATTTTCTGGTGTTTAACTGGTGTCTCATGGAGGGGCTCAGTGGTAGAGTGCTTGCCTTGCATGCATGAGGTCCTGGGTTCAATTCCTCAGCAACACATAAGCAGAAAAAGCCAGAAGTGGTGCTGTAGCTCAAGTGGTAGAGCATTAGCCTTGAGCTGAAGAGCTGAGGGACAGTGCCCAGGTCCAGAGTTTAGGCCCAGGACCAACAAAAGCAAAACAAAAGAGTCTCATGGACTTTTCTGCCTGGACTGGCTTTAAACCTTGATCCTCAGATTTCAGTTTCCGGAGTAGCTAGGATTACTAGGATTACAGGTGTGAGACACCAGCACCTGGCCAAATTCTTTTTTTTTTTTAAATGCTGGTCTTGGGGCTTGAACTCAGGGCCTGGGCACTTTTCCTGGGCTTTTTTGCTCAAGGCTAGCATTCTACTGCTTTCTCCACAGCTTCACTCTGGCTTAGAGATAAGAAGTCTGATATACTTTCCTGCCCAGGCTGGCTTTGAACTGTAATCCTCAGATCTCAGCTTCCTGAGTAATTAGGGTTACAAGCATAAATCTCTGGCACCAAGCTAGTTCAAATTCTTTTATTCTTTTTTTTTTTTTTGAGGGAAAGCTGGGTGCTGTCCCTCAGCTCAAGGCTAGCGCTCTACCACTTGAGCTACAGTGCCACTTCTGGCTTATTTCTTTCTGCTTATGTGGTACTGAGGACTCGAACCCAGGGCCTCAGGCATGCAAGGCAAGTGCTCTACCACTGAGCCATCTTCCCAGCCCCATAGTTCAAATTCTTTTAAAGTAGTATAAATAAGACAAACTTGGTGATGCATGACTATAATCCCATCATCCAAAAGGGAAAGGTAAGGAAATTACAAATTGAAGGCCAACGTAGGTTATATAGTGAGGCCCTATCTCAAACAAATAAGAAGCATTCCTCTACTTCCTCCTTGAACCCCATTACTATGCAGTAGAGAAGTTTGACAGGACTGTAGCCAGGTGATAGCAATTAACACCAGCAACAAGAGGCAGGTGGACATTGTATGCCTCCAGATGGACTATGCCAGAGAGCTCAAAATGTCACCAGCATAGTAACTGAGCCAAGAATGTACAACAGCCAGCTAATCACTTGGAGACATCAGAGCAGTGCAAAATGAAGAATGTCCTGTTATGAAAGGTGGGGGACTTCTGGGTGGGACTGTCTCTTCTAAAAATGGCAATGTCATAAAAACAAAGACAGAAGGCCATGGAAGTATTCCAGAGTAAGAGGATGAAAAAGCAAGATTGTATACCACGTGATCCTAGATAGGAGCCTTTGCTGGACAGCAGTGCCATGAACAACATTAGGTTGGTCAATGAACATAAGTGAAATATAGAAAATATATCAAATGAAATTACTGAGTCAATGTTAAATGACTTCAATTTGATAACAGCACAGTGGTCACATAAGAATATTAAGCCAGGGAGCTGGGAAGGTGGCTCAGTGGTAGAGCGCTTGCCTTGCATGCCTGAGGCCCTGGGTTCGATTCCTCAGCACCACATAAGCAAAAAGAAAAAAGCCGGAAGTGGCGCTGTGGTTCAAGTGGTAGAGTGCTAGGCTTGAGCTGAAGAGCTGAGAGACAGCGCCCAGGCCCAGAATTCAGGCCCCACGACTGGACCCCCCCCCAAAAAAAAGAATATTAAGCCAGGCACTGGTGGCTCACACCTGTAATCCTAGCTACTAAGGAGGCTGAGATCTGAGGATCACAGTTCAAATCCAGACCTTGCAGGAAAGTCCATGAGACTCTTATCTCCAATTAACTACCAGAAAATGGTAAGTGGCACTGTAGCTCAAATGGCAGAGTGCTCTCCTTGAGCTGAAGAGCTGAGGGACAACGCCCAGGTCCAGAGTTCAGGCCCCATGACATACCAAAAAAAAAGAATATATCATTTTCAAATTCATACTGGAGTTGTTGTTGTTGTTATTGTTGTTGTTGTGTGTGTGTGTATGTGTGTGCCAATCTTGGGACTTGAACTGAGCATTTGTGCTCGAGGCTAGCACTTTACCACTCATTTGAGCTACAACTCCACTTCTGGCTTTTTGGTGGTTAATTTCATGGATTTTCCTGCCCTGGCTGGCTTTAAACTGTGATCCTCAGATCTCAGCCTCCTGAGTTGGCTATGATTACAAGGGTGAGCCACTGGTGCCTGACACTATTCTTGCATATTTTCATCTGTGAATCTCAAGTGATTTCCAGTTTGTGGGGTTTGGGAGTGTAGCTCAGTGGTAGAGCACTTGTCTAGCATACACAAGGCCCTGGGTTCCATCACCACCCACACATATACACATACACACATGCACACATACACACATACACACAGACACACACTCAGACTCATTTGAATAACACTTTGACTACTACATGCAGGAGAACAGCTGAAGTTATAATGTTTGCTCTAAAATTCCACATGTAAGAGCTAAGGAAGAATCATATGAACCGGGCACTGTAGACTTCGGTGAAAAAAGCTCAGGGATTGTGCCCAGGCCCCACAACTGACAAAACAAGAAAAATAAAACCAGGAACTGGTGTCTCATGCATGTAACCCTAGCTACTTAGGGAGCTGAGATCTGAGAATCATGACTCTGAGGCAGTTTGGGCAGAAAAGTCTTTGAAAATCTTCAATTAGCCAGGAAAATGATGAACTAAAGGCAAGGTTCAATTGATAAGAGCATCAGCTGTGAGCAAAATAACTGAGCAAAAAGTGTGAGGCCTTGAGATCAAGCCCTGGTACTGGCAAGCATGCACAAACACACACACACACACACACACACACACCTGCAAAGTACACACACACACACACACCTGCAAAGTATCTCCCAGCAGGATCAACCTTTCCATCATTGAATCGATTGTTTTTCTTGTCTTTGTCCACAGTGGCCAGGACAACTACTGATTGATCTTTCCAGTTCAAAGCACAGAACTTTGTTCCAATGGTGGCAACATAGCCTCCTGATTGGCGAAGGGCCACGGAGCTGACTGGGGCATCTGTAGAAACAAAAGCAATCATTAGAAGGCACACAAACAGTACAGTGGCCATCATATCACTTGGCATCTCTTAACAGTTTTTTTTTTGTGGCTGTGGGGCTTGAAGTATGTGCCTGGGTGCTGTCCCTGAGCTCTTCAGCTCAAGGTCAGAGCTCTACCATTTGACTCACAGCACCACTTTGGTTTTCTGGTGGTTTATTGGATATAAGAGTCTCATGGACATTACTGCCTGGGTTGGCTTTGAACTGAGATCCTCAAATCTGAGCCTCCTGCATAGCTAGGATTACAGGCATGAGCCATCAGCACACAGCTCTTAACAGTTTTGATAATGGCAGTGAGCTGTCTCGTGCTGAATAACAAAGGCTACAGGTGTTTGATGCTTGAGAACTCTGTATCCTGTTCTAGACAGCAAAGCTGGGAAGACAAATATGACTCTATTCTTCTGGAAAATTCTCATGCTACTGAGACAAATAAAGGAGCCAGACTATAGTAGCTTAGTATGTAGGATGTAGCTTAGTATGTAGGGTGTAGCTTAGTGGTCCTCTACAGGACCCTGGGTTTGATCCTCAGACTGGCAAAAACACCCTTCAGCAGACAGTAGACCAGGGCACATCACACAAAGTTCAGAAGAGGGGCTCCTAATCTAGGGACACCTGGATGGTCACAATAGAGCAAGCAATATTTAATTCACTTCACCTCTAGGATATTCCAACATTCAGACTGGTTACTTGCAGAAATGAGGCTTTGGAACACTGTTCTCACCTTCCAGTACTTGTCCTAGTTTTGTGCTGCTAGACTGGAACATAGGACCGTCTACAAGTTAAGCAAGTGCTCTACCAGTGAGCCACACCCTTAGTCCTAATACTTGTAATTTTTTTGCTAGCACTGGAGCGAACTCAGGGCCTGGGCACTGTCCCTGAGCTTCTTTTTCTCAAGGCTAGCACTCTACAACTTTGAGTCACAGTGCCACTTCCAGTTTTCTGGAGGTTAATTGGAGTAGGAGTCTTACAGACTTTCTTTCCCAGGCTGGCTTTGAACCACAATTGTCAGATCTCAGCCTCTTGAATAGCTTGGATTATAGGCATGAGCCACCAGCACCCAGCCTTCCATCTTTTTTGTGTGTGTGCCGGTCCTGGGGATTGAACTCAGCCTAAGCTCTGTCCTTGAGTCTTTTGTGCTCAAAACTAGCACTCAAACCACTTGAGCCACTGCTCCACTTCTGGGTTCGTGCTGGTTAATTGAGATAACAACCTCACAGACTTTTCTGCTTGGGCTGGATTTGACCTGTAATCCTCAGATCTTAGCTTCCTAAGAAGCTAGGATTATAGGCATGAGCCACCAAGCACCTAGATTGAGGCCTTATTTTTAATGTATTTAATTTAAAATGTTTCTCTAATCTTTTTTGGAAATATGTATGGTAAAAGATAATAAATAGAAATGCAGATGAAATATAATCATCTGTTCATCATTTTAATGTATTTTGTATTTTTAAAGTTGAGACTTTCTGGGGCCAGTTGCAGTGACTCATACCTGCCTGTAATCCCAGCTTTTGTGAGAGGCAGAGAACAGGAAGAATACGGTATTAGAACAGCTCAGGCAAAAAGTTAGCAAGACTAAATATCTCAATGAATAAGTCAGGCATGGTGTTTCATATCTATAATCTCAGTTAGGTGGGAAGTAGGAAGACTGTGGTTCAAGGCAGGCTCAGGGCAAAAGTATGAGACCTTATCCATAAAAATCACTACAGAATAAAAGGACTGGGAGTTGGGGCTGGGAAGGTGGCTCAGTGGTAGAGCGCTTGCCTCACATGCCTGAGGCCCTGGGTTCGATTCCTCAGCACCACATAAGCAAAAAGAAAAAAGCCGGAAGTGGTGCTGTGGCTCAAGTGGTAGAGCGCTAGCCTTGAGCTGAAGAGCTGAGGGACAGCGCCCAGGCCCAGAGTTCAGGCCCCATGACCGGACCCCAAAAAAAAAAAAGGACTGGGAGTGTGGCTCAAGCACCAGTGTGACTGACTAGCAAGAGAGAGGCCTTGGGCTGGGAAGGTGGCTCAGTGGTAGAGCGCTTGCCTTGCATGCCCGAGGCCCTGGGTTCGATTCCTCAGCACCACATAAGCAAAAAGAAAAAAGCCAGAAGTGGTGCTGTGGCTCAAGTGGTAGCGCACTAGCCTTGAGCTGAAGAGCTGAGGGACAGTGCCCAGGCCCAGAGTTCAGGCCCCACAACTGGACCAAACAAAAAACAAAAAACAAAACAAGAGAGAGGTCTTGAGTTAAAAAAATAATACTGTTCGGACTCCCCCAAAGTTTAGATTTTCTGCATTTAATATTATATTTTGGCAGTACTGGAGTTAGAACTAAGGGTTTCATACTTGCTAGCCATGCCTCTATTTCAAGAATTTTTTTTGCTAGTTTAGGGCTTGCCCTCCAGACAGGCTTGCTCCACTGGTGCTCTACCATTTGAGCAACACTGATTTTTGTTGCTTATTTGGAAATGGAGTCTCAATGACTTTTCTGCCTGGGCTGGCTTCAGATAATCAGATCTCAGCCTCCTGAGTAACTGAGATATCAGGTATGAGTCACAAGCACAGGGCTCAAGAAAACCTTTTTCTTAAAATGGAAAGACTGATTACTGTGGTGAGCATCATAGGAAATATATATTAGAATTTCTTCAGGCTAGGCACTGGTGGTTCATGCCTGTAATCCTAGCTCCTGAGGAAGCTAAGATATGAGGATCACAGTTTGAAGCCAGTCTGGGCAGGGAAGTCCGTGAGACTCTTATCTCCAATAAACTACTCAGACAAAGCTAGAAGTGGCACTGTTGCTCAAGTAATAGAGCACTAGACTTGAGCACAAAGAGGCTCAGGGACAGTGGCCAGGCCCTGAGTTCAAGCCCCATAAATGACAAAAAAAGTAAAAGTTGCTCCCATCTGGGAATCAGTGGCTCATGCCTCTAATAATAGCTGCATTGGAGGCTGAGGTCTGAGGATTATTGTTCAAAGCCATCTTGGGTAGGAGAAAAATGCATGAGAATTTTATGTTTAAACACAAAATAAATGCAACCATGATATTCAGTATATGTTATGTGGAAAATGACTTACATAACTTGTGGGCTGGGTTGGGAGGGGGAAACTGAGGTATGGGGTGACATTTGCCAAAAAAGAAATGTACTCATTACCTGGGGAAAGGGATGACATTTTCTCAAAAAGTAAATGTACTTATTACCTACCTGACTTATGAAAAGGTAGCCCCTCTGTACAAGGCATTAATAGTAACAATAAAATAATTTTTGTAATGCCAGAAGTGGAGGTGTAGCTGAAGTGGTAGAATGCTTGGTCTAAGCAAAAGAGCTCAGAGACAGCACCAAGTTCTAAGATCAAGCCCCAGGACCAGCACCAAGAAAAGCTGTTCTCAGGGGCAGGAGGTATGGGTCAAAGGATATAATGCCAGCAGAGAAAGCAGGTCTTGAGTTCAAACTCTAGTACTATAAAACAACAACAACAACAAACTGCTCCCACACTGGGTTTAAGACAATGCTAAACAGGTTCGAGTTTCCCAAATGAGTTCATGAGATGAGATACCAGGAATTGCTGAAACCTTGTGTTCCTTCTCATGATTCCCAAGACTTCAGGAATTCCCAGTATTTCTTCCTCTAAACACAAGAAACTTTCTGGTCTATTGATAATCACATCAGACCATTGCTTTGGGCTACAGAAAGTCATAAACTCTTTGCTGGGTGCTAGTGGCTGACATCTGTAATCCTAGTGACTCAGGAGACTAAGATCTGAGGATTGAGGTTCAAAGCTAGCTTTGGCACACAAATCCTCAAAACTTTTATCTCTGATTAACTAGCAAACAAAGTAGAGACATGGTTCAAATGGCAGATTCTAGCCTTAAGCAGAAAAGACAAGTCACAGTGTAAAGCCTTGAGTTCAAGCCTCAGTCCTGGCGCGCGCGCGCGCACACACACACACACACACACACACACACACACACACACACACACACACACACATTTCGGAGGGGATTCCCTGTATACTAGCCACACGCACACGCGCGCGGCGCGCGCGCGCGCACACACACACACACACACACACACACACACACATTGGAATGGTATGGAAATGTGCACATAATGTTGTCAGGAATCTTTCATGTGTATTTTCAGCAAATATAGGCCTGGTTGAAACTTTTGAAATGTAAAAGTTCTTGCTCCTGTGTGTGTGTGTGTGTGTGTGCACGCACGGGTGTGGGCGTGGGTGCCAGTACTGAGGCTTAAACTCAGTGCCTCACACTCTCATTTGCTTTTTTTTTTTTGCTCAGGGCTGGAGCTGTAACACTTGAGCCATACCTCCACTTCTGATTCCTTTTTATTAGGGGGGGGGGTCCGGTGGTGGGGCCTGAACTCAGGGCCTGGGCGCTGTCCCTCAGCTCTTCAGCTCAAGGCTAGCACTCTACCACTTGAGCCACAGCGCCACTTCCGGCTTTTTTTTTCTGGTTATGTGGTGCTGAGGCATCGAACCCAGGGCCTCATGCATGTGAGGCAAGTGCTCTACCACTGAGCCACCTTCCCAGCCCCAACTTCTGATTCTTTTGGTGGTTAATAAGAGGTAAGAGTCTCATAAACTTTTCTTGCCCAGGATGGCTTTGAACTGAGATCCTCAGATCTCAGCCTCCTGAGTAGCTAGGATTACAGATGTGAGCCACTGGCATCTACTTTTCTTTTTTTAATGAATATCTGGACATAACTCAAAGGTAATTTGCCTTTCCTGTGCCACCAGTCAGGTCTTCAGCTCTCAAAGCTGTAATCTGAGTGTGTTCAGGAAAGGTAGAAACAATAATGTTTCAGGGCTGGGAATGTGGCTTAGTAAAAGAGTGCTTGCCTAGCATGCATGAAGCCCTGGGTTCGATACTTCAGTACCACATAAACAGAAAAACCCAGAAGTGGTTCAAGTAGCCGCAAGAGAAGCTCAGGGACAGCTCCCAAGCCCTGAGTTCAAGCTCCAGGACTGGAAAAAACCAAAAACTATAATGCTTCAGTATCAAAACAAAAATGGGGACCAGGGGCCTGGGGCTCAATCCTCAGCACCACAAAAATAAAACAAGCAAAACAAACAAAACTAGGAAGACAATGAACAAAATATAGACAATCCATCATGTTCTCCTGGATTATAGTAAGGGTGGGGGAGCATGGATGAAGGACACAGGGAGCATATGAGTGTAAAAGGTTCACAGCAAGCAGAGTGCCAGTGGCTCACACCTGTAATCCTAGCTACTCAGGAGGCTGGGATCTAAGGATCACGGTTCAAAGCCAGTCTGGGCAGGAAACTCCATGAAACTCTTATCTCCGATAAACCACTAGAAAACTGGAAGTGGTGCTGTGGCTCAAATGGTAGAGAGCTCACCTTGAGCTGAAGAGCACAGCGACAGCGCTCAAGCCCAGAATTCAACCCCCATGACCAGCACCACCACCACCACCACCAACAACAACAACCAAAAAGTTCACAGCATTTTTAATGTGCTTTAACAAGAGGGTCCCAGGGGGAGGACCAATGTGGTGGAAAAAGATGGCTGATAACAAAGATATGAGCTCTGGTGGAGCTGGTGGCTCACACATGTGATTCAACTACTCAAGAAGCTAAGATATGAAAATCATGGTTCAAAATCAATCTGGACAAGAAAGTCCATGAGGCTCTTATCTCCAATTAAGCACCCAAAAAAGCTAGAAGTGGAGCTGTGGCTCAAGTGAGAGAGGGCTAGCCTTGAGCACAAAAGCTCAGGGACAGTGCCCAAGCTCAGAATTCAAGCCCCAGGATGGGCACACACAAAAAATAAATGTGACTCTGCCTTCATCCTTACCCACACTCATTTGCTGCACTTGCTTGGTAAGTGAATCCCACCGGCAAACCTTTCTTGCAGGGATGTCCACAAAAAGCAGAGAGTTGGATGCTTCATCCCATACTGGTGACTCTCCGCAACGACAATTCTCTCGCAAAACACACTCGATCTTAATGGAAGACATTGTCACAGGAGAGACCTACTGAAGGCAGCAGAAATCAAATTAAATGTAATGGCATAGAACAAATTCAGTAGACTAGTGGCTTAAGACTCTGCTAAAAATTCTAACAGATACAGTATCTTTTGTTTAATGGCATGGGTAGTTTGTACACATTGAAGGTTTATGGCAACCCTGTATCACGCCAATCTACACCATTTTCCCCCAACAACTTAGACAATCCTTAGCATTATTTAAGCAATAAAGTGGTTTTTTTTTCAAATTAATCTGTGTATATGTTTTTGAGGACCTAACCCTATTGCACAGTTAATAGATTACTGTAGAATATAAATTAAGTTATATATGCATTGGAAAGCAAAAACAATATGCCTTTTTCTTTTCTCTTTTTGTGTGTGCAGTTTGCTTTCTCGAGGCGGTTTACAACCAAACCCATGGTTTCTCTGAGGTCTGACTGCAATCAGAACTGGAAAGACCAGTCAGCTTTCCAAAGCCAAAGCAAGATGTACGTGACAGAAGACATGTAGGAGGAAGGAAGGGCTGATTGGAGATAACAAACCCCATCTTCAGTCATCTTACCAGTGAGGTTTTCTAAGCTATCTTCTGAAAGTAAGGGTCACTGTGACATCCACACCTTGGTGTTAGTGGCCTTCAGAGAACAAAATGTTCAGATAGTGCAAGGCTGCCCTTTATGCCAGCACCTTGGCCCCAAGGCGGGCAGGGAGGCGGGCAGCTCCCTTATTGGTGGCCCCTCTGGGTGTCTGCAGGTCACCTTCTCTTTCTGTCCCCTCCCTCATCTATTGATCCTTCTTGGAGGCCTGGGTGGGGCTTTGCTGACCTGAGGTTTTAGAAGTATGTTTACTAGCCAGGCATAGGTGGCTCATGCCTATAATCCTAGCTAGTGAGGAGTCTGAGATATGAGGATCATGGTTTGAAGCCAGTCCACGCAGCAAACTCAGTGAGACTCTTAAGATCTACAACAAACCACCAGAAAACTGGAAGGGGCACTGTGGCTCAAAGTGATAGAGTGCTAGCCTTGAGCACTTAAAAGCTCAGGCACAGAGACCAAGTACAGAGTTCAAGCCCCATGACTGACCAAAAAAAGAAAAGAAAAGAAAGAAATATGTTCACCAATGAAAATACACCAGGGCTGGGAGTGTAGCTCACTGGTAGAACACTTAGCTAACTATGTAGTAGGCCCTAGATTCTATCCTTAGTAACAGCCCCCAAACAACCAATATTTGTGTGTGTGTGTGTGTGTGTGTGTGTGTGTGTGTATGTATGTATGTATTTTTTGCTCAAGGCTAGCTATCTACCACTTGAGCCACAGGATTTTGATGGTTAATTGGAGATTAGTCTTAAGCATTTTCTTGACTTGGCTGGCTTCAAACATGATCCTCAGATCTCAGCTGCCTGAGTAGCTAGGATTATAGGCCTGATCCACCAGCCCCCAAATCCATTTTCAAACTACGAAGATGAAAGGGGTAGAGAAATGGACACTTTCCTTGTTATCTTTTTCTTCTGGTGCTGGAGAATGGAATCCAGGGCCTAGAAAGCCCTTCACTAAGCTCTACCCCCCAGCCTATCAGTGGGGGTAGTTGATGGACCCTTAGCTTAAGTCTAAATTCTAGAAGGACACCTGGCCAGATTGGCAAGGAGTCTTCAACTCTACAAGCAAGGAATATTCTATGCTGGGACTTTAGGCCATAGACGGTGACTAGTGAATTGGAAAAAGAAAAACAATTTGAAAAGAGAGAGAGATCAAAACATAAGATCAGATAAGAGTTCCGTGTGGGAAAGGCAGGCCTGGTGCTTCTTCCACTGGATAGTCTCACACAAAGGTGGGCCAATGACTAGAAGGGGTGGGGTAAAGTGGGGAGAAAATGAGCTGTGGTTTCCCCCCCTATAAACTACTTAAGAAAAAACACACACACATATTGGGAAAACATGTCTCCTACACTGATTATCACCACAGAATGTGGAATGTGGCATCTGGAATATCATTGGTTGTTAAAAATTGGCTCAGACTCCAAAGGCCTTCAAGCTATCAATCTTAGATAAGATCCAAGATCAGACAGGCGGCTTTTGCAATAAAGGACTTTTAACCCCCCAGTCTAGCTCTGTCGCAAACCTGGGGCCTCCAAATGTCCCATTTCTGACCCAGCACTAATCGGGAGGGGGACAAGCACCTTGAGGACAGAAATTAGGGGCCCATGTTACACCAGGGGTACCTGTGGCCGTGGGGGGGAGTGTCTTCGCACAATCTGGAAGCACTACTGCAGCTTCAGGTTACTGCTACAAAGATGGCGATGGCGTCTCACTTGAAGTTACAGGCTGAGCCCTCCTTGTTCCTGATGCAGGGCCGGGCTGCTGTAGGCCTTGTTGTCCCGGTAGCCACAGGGCAGTGGATTTCCTTCTGGCTGCCCCGGGTTGAGAGACTGGGCAGATCGGGTGTCAGCTGTTGCCAGGGCCTTTGCTTTCCACGGAGGGGGAGGGGCGGGGAGGCCGGTTTGGCCGTGACTCTCCCTTGGCTGCTGAATTCTCAGGCGGCTCGAAGGTCAGCTCCTGGGGAGGGGAAACCCCTCCTGGGACACAGCGGCTGGGGCCCTGATGACCAAAGGCCTGGGAATTGTGGGGATGGGTAATCTCACTTGCTCGCCCTTCCCCCTTCCTGCAGCCAACGCTGTACCTCTGGTTTCCCACAGCTTGGAAGAATCTTGCAAGAGCCATTGTGGGAAAGGGGAGAGAGGCGACCAGAGGGAGAGGGGGGTATTAGGGGGGTGCAAAAGGTTTGTGGGCCTCAGCTTTGGAGTTTGGACACATATCTAAAGTTTATCTCTTATGTAAACAAACAAATCGTTGTTAAAATGCCTAACTGATTGGAACTGGGTTCTGGTTAAACACAAACAGGTTAAAACAGAAAGAACAAAGCAGTTAAATAAAATCCTCCCTGTCCCTAGTCTCCAAGACCCTGGTGCCTGGTGCCAATGCTTGCTTTTTTTCTTTGTGCTGGTCCTGGGGCTTGAACTCAGGTCCTGAGCACTGTCCTTGAGCTTTTGTGTTCAACCATTTTGAGTTACAGGCTCACTTACAGATTTTTGGTAGTTTATTGGAGATAAGACTCTCACAGGGTTTTCTGTCCAGGCTGGCTCTGAACCTGGATCCTCAGATCTTAGCCTCCTAGGATTATGTGTTGAGGTATGACCCTCAACACAAAATGTTTCCTTCCTTCCTTCCTTGCTTGCTTGCTTGCTTGCTTCTCTTCCTTCCTTCCTTCTTTCTTTCTTTTTTAATTTTTTGAACATTATATTTTATTTGATTTAAAAATCTCATGGAATAATTGATTGGAAGCAGCATTCACTTTCACAGTCCCCACTGAGAGTGTAAATACATCGTATCCTTGCTAGGGCATTTTATCTCAGTAACCCATAAGATTAAAAGATTGTTTAATTTGATCAATTTATATTTTTTTCTTGATCTCCTGAATATTCATCACAGGACCTCATGAATAATAGGCTTAAAAATGGTAAGAGTAGCTGGGTTCTGGTGTCTCATGCTTGTAATCCTACCTACACAGGGGCTGAGATCTGAGGATTGCAGTTCAAAGCTACCCCGGGCAGGAAAGTCCATGAGATACTTATCTCCAACTAACTACCAGAAAATTGGAAGTGGCGCTGTGGCTCAAAGTGGTAGAGCACTAACACTGAACAAAAGAAAGCCCAGGAACAATGCCCAGGCCCTAAGCTCAAATCCTACAACTGACAAAAAATATAGTAAGGGGGCTGGGAAGGTGGCTCAATGGTAGAGCGCTTGCCTGCATGCTCAAGGCCCTGGGTTCGATTCCTCAGCACCACATAAGCAAAAAGAAAAAAGCCGGAAGTAGCGCTGTGGCTCAAGTGGTAGAGCACTAGCCTTGAGCTGAAGAGCTAAGGGACAGCGCCCAGGCCCAGAGTTCAGGCACCATGACCGGACCCCAAAAAAAAAATATAGTAAGGGAGGCTGGGAAGGTGGCTCAGTGGTAGAGTGCTGGCCTTGCATGCCTGAGGCCCTGGGTTTGATTCCCCAGTACCACATAAACAAAAAGAAAAAAAGCCGGAGGTGGCACTGTGGTTCAAGTGGTAGAGTGCTAGCCTTGAGCTGAAGAGCTGAGGGACAGCGCTCAGGCCCAGAGTTCAGGCCCCACGACTGGACCCCCCAAAAATATAGTAAGGGTAAACAGAGGCAAAGGTAGGGATTAACTATAGAGTAAGGGAAGCTTTCTGGGGCAATAAGAATATTATTCTGGGGTCTGAGAAGGTGGCTCAGTGGTAGAGTGCTTGCCTTGCATACATGAGGCCCTGGGTTTGATTCCTCAGCACCACATAAGCAGAAAAAGCCGGAGGTAGCCCTGTGGCTCAAGTGGTAGAGCACTAGGTTTGAGCTGAAGAGCTGAGGGGCAGTGTCCAGGCCCAAAGTTTAGGCCTCACGACCCAAAAAAAAACCCCAAAATAAAAAAAAACAAATATTATTCTGTTTCAGTTAGAGTCTTTATTTGCACAGGTATATATACTATCAAAAATCAACAACTGAGGGGCTGGGAATGTGGCTTAGTGGTAGAGTGCTTGCCTGGCATGCATGAAGCCCTGGGTTCGATTTTTCAGGGCCTCATAAACATAAAAAGGCAGAAGTGGTGCTATGGCTCAAGAGCAAAAGAAGGGCTAGGCGCCTAGCTACTCAGGAGGCTGAGATCTGAGGATCATGGTTCAAAGCCAGCTGGGGCAGGAAAGTCTGTGAAACTCTTATCTCCAATAAACCACCAGAAAACCGGAAGTGGTGTTGTAGTTCAAGTGGTAGAGCACTAGCTTGAGCTATAGAGCTGAGAGACAATGTTCAGGCCCAGAGTTCAAGCCCCACAACTGACCAAAAAAAAAAAAAAAGAGCAAAAGAAGCTCAAGAGCAAGAAGCTCAGGGAAGTGCCCAGGCCCTGAGTTCAAACTCCAGGAATGGCAAAACAAAACAAAAAAATCAACAACTGAGTTGGCCACTGGTGGCTCATGCCTTTAGTATTAGCTACTCAGAAGGCTGAGATCTGAGGATCTCAAAGTCATCCTCGGCAGAAAAATCCTGGAGACTGTCATCTTTCAGTTAACCAGGAAAAGCCAGAAACGGAGCTGTGGCTCAAGTAGTAGAGAACCAGCTTTGAGTGGAAAAAGCCAAGTAAGCTTGGGAGACCTTGACTTTACATCCCAGTACATCCCCCCCCCTCCCCCGGCTCCCTTGCACACAGACACAGACACAAATCATCTAATGAACTGGATGTGGTGGCTCATGCCTGTAATGCCAGCTACTCAGGGAGGCTGGGATAGGACAAAAAAAAATCCAGTATTACAGTTAAGATTTATGTACTTTATCCTACCATATTGAATTCAAAGTCTTTACTTTTTTTTTTTTTAATTGGTCATGGGCTTTGAACTCTGTGCTGGGCGCTGTCCCTCAGCTCTTCAGCTCAAGGCTAGCACTCTACCATTTGAGTCACAGCACCACTTCCGATTTTCTGGTGGTTAATTGGAGATAAGAGTCTCATGGACTTTCCTGCCTGGGCTGGCTTTGAACTGCCATCCTCAGAGCTCAGCCTCCTGAGTAGCTAGGATTACAGGCATGAGCCACTGGTGCTGGGTTTTTTCTCAGTCCTGGGGCTTGACCTCAGGGCCTGGGCACTCTCCTTGAGCTGCTTTTGCTCATGACTAGCACTCTACCATGTGTGCCACAGCACCACTTCTGGCCTTTTTTGTTTATGTGGTATTGAAGAATTGAACCCAGGCATGTTAGTCAAGCACTCTACAACTAAGCCATATTCCCAGCCCAGTTCAAAGTTTTTGTTGTGTTTTTTTCTGAGGCTTTCAGTTCAAAGCAAGTCCAGGCAGGAGAGTCCGTAAGACTCTTATGTCCAATTAACCACCAGAAAACTGGAAGTGGTGCTGTGGCTCAAAGTGGTAAATTGCAAGCCTTGAGTGAAGAAGCTCAGGGACAGTGCCCAGGCCACAGAGTTCAATCGCCATGACTGACCAAAAAAAAAAACAAAAAACAAAAGGAAACATAAGGTACTTTCTTGGGTGGGGCAAAAGGTGGGATTGCAATACCCATATGTTGGCGATTCCGCTATGCTTCTTAAGAAGTATCTGCCTGTCCCATGCTTTCCTATACCTCTTCAATGCTAAGGACTCACTAGCTTTCTCTTAAAGCCTCATCCTGAAGATCAATTTCTCTCAGTAGTCTCATAGGACTGTACCAAACAAATCATATTTTTATGAAATTCCTGTCCTATGTTGGTGAATAGGGCCATGGTACAACTAATGGACCAATAAAGAAACAGAACATCTCAGCTTACTTTTCTTGTTCCCTAATTCAACTCCATTTAGTCATTAGCCTATAGAAGTGTCTCTTGGTGTTGGGTGGCTTTGGCTCATACCTGTAATCCTAGCCACACAGGAGGCTGACATCTGTGAATCAAGATTTGAAGCCAGTCTGGGCAGGAAAGTGTGAGATACTTATCTCCAATTAACTAAAATTTGGAAGCAGAGATATTCCTCAAGTGCTAGAGTGCTAGCCTTGAGTGACAAAAGCAAAGGGACAGCACCCAGGCCCTGAGTTCAAGCCCCAGTACCAGCACACATACATATAAGTGTCTCTTTAATGTTCATCTGACTGTTGGCATTTATCTTTTTTTTTCTGGTCATGGGGCTTGAACTCTGGGCCTGAGCTCTGTCCCTCAGCTTTTCAGCTCAAGGCTAGTGCTCTATCACTTGAGCTACAGCGCCACTTCCGGTTTTCTGGTGGTTTATTGGAGATAAGAGTTTCTCAGACTTTCCTGCCTGGGCTGGCTTTGAACCCCAATCCTCAGATCTCAGCATCCTCAGGATTACAAGGGTGAGCCACTGGTGCCCGGCTGTTGGCATTTATCTTAATTCGTTCAGGCCTCTATCTTCATCTTTCTTCCACATTGCTGTCATCGTTCTGGAAATCCAATATTACCCTTTTGGAGCTGCTGACAAAATGGCATGCTAAATCCTTTCTTTTTTCTTTCAGTTGTGGGGCTCTTTTGCTCTTTTACTGAAGGCTAGTGCTTTACCACTTTGAGCCACAGCACCACTTCCAGTTTTCTGGTGGTTAATTGGAGATAGGAGTCTCAATAACTTTTCTGCCTGGGCTGGCTTTGAAATATGATCCTCAGATCTCAGCCTCCTGAGTAGCTAGGAGTATAGATGTGAGCCATCAGTGCCCAGCCCAAGGTATGTCTGGCTCACCTTCAACTTCAGAGTTGCATTAATATATGTGTGTCCCTGAGACCAACCTGCGACTTGGATGGGGGCAGATGCCATGTGCTCCCTCTCCTGGGTAGATACGGCCCTCTAATAAACCTTATGTTACTCCTGTGCTGCCTGTCTCTGTGTGGTCCTCTGGGAGGGTCCTAAAGGATCCTTTCATATGGTGCTGTGACCCAGATATGTTCCCCGGTGGATTTGCTTGC